TCAAGAGAAAAAGGTCCAATTAAAAATTTATCAATTATTCCTGCCCATACGTTTAAACTAAACTGGTGTTGATGTCTTGAATGCCAATTATGATTATTATGAAAATTGAATATACCATCCTCCCTGGTAAAACTAGCTTGCTAGAGTTTCCTCTGTTTATAAAATTCATTATATTTCATAAACAAAGACAGACAGGACATATATTTATATGACTTTTTTTTCATTATTTTTAGGCGCACGATCAGCTCCTACGAAGTGGGTCCTACGTGTTACGAAACACCCTGTATAGCACGATTTATCGAGGTGATCAATTACTTGCGTTTTAGTGTCAAGATCGCGTCCAATTCGAAGCATGCGGCGCGTCCGGCTAATCGAAGCAGAAAAATAAACCTACTTGAGAACAACGACTTCGTCATTTGCCGCTATTACGAACATTATTTACGCCTCAGTTATTTTCGCGATAAATTTTCTTTCTTTACGATTTACGAAAATTGTTTTCACGATTGATTTACGCTTCGACATTTTTCAAGCAAGAAGTTTTCGTACGTGAATCGCTGAATGGAAAATTATGTCCCGCTTTCAGAGGGAATTGTATTATTTCCCGCCGAGTTGAAACTTGTGAAGCAGCATGCAAGGCACGAAGTGGTGGAAGATATGGGAAGAAATACGCAAGCGTTTAAATTAAACGTGATACTTTGTGCAACATATCAATAATCATATCAATAATGCTGCGACTGAATACCTCCGCTCTCCTCTCTTGACAAGTTTATCATGTTTCTCGTTAATTAAACCTTGAGGAGAGGAAATATAAAAAGAATCGATACACACATATATACTATTTACTTATCGTTAGTAATACGAATATTGAACGATAATAAATATTTTTAATATTCTTGAATTTTATTCTTGGAATTTCTTCCTAGACGATAGTCAAGATATCAGGAATCGTTGGCTGTAACAATATGAAGTATAGTATTCCCCAGAATGTATGTATCTAGATCACCTTCTGGATTTTTCCTTCGGGCAAAAGACAAATACGTACGATTTGTACGTGGAGTGTGGTAGCAGAGTTCAGAAACGCCATCAAAGGTTTGTCCGAACGAATGACGGAGTCGACGTGGAATGCGACGGTATCTCGTTCGAGGGATTGTCCAGCTACGCGAATGAACGCGAATCTGCTCGTCGACGAATAGGAGACCCAAGGAACTTGGACTCTGGGCTTTTATCTATCGGATTCTCCTACTCGCGGCTCGCGTCGAATTTCCAGCCTGCTGACGTTCAACTTCCCAGTGTGAAAAAGGACTCCGTTTGCTTCTGCATCGCGTCAACGTACAACGCGTTTCACAAAACAAATTTCTTTTATTTCTCTTCTCTCTTTTCTTCTTTCTTTTTTTTTTTTATCAGAAATGACTGTACAGTGAATCAAAATTATTGGTATTGGCATTTTTGTGAAAACAGATGACACATTAACAAAATCCGTTTGCAGAAGTAGCTTACTACAAACAATTTCCAGTACAATAATGGTACAAGTAATAATAAAAATTCGAGAACTGATAAAAGAGATATTTATAAGACACACAAAGAATTTTTTTTCTATCATGCATTTGAACGGAATATAAAATATTTTTATAGTTTAAAGACGAGTTTCTTTTCTTACAATTGGTGTTCACGCGATATCATTCGATAACATTCCTGCAGTTTTACAAAAGGTTATTTTGTAATTTTTCTGATGATATTCCGGCATTAAATAAATATATAATAAATTTTTATATTGGAAATTGTTATTCTTGTACTGAGCTAT